GGCAAGGCCCGCCCGCCAGGAACCGCGCGAGCTTCAGGGTTATGGTGGCCTCCCAGGCGCCCATGACCACGGAACTTGAGCATCGGCGAACCCCGGACGCGCATGTGCCGGAGTGGTATGTCCACGTGGAACTCGCTAGATGSAGTGACGCCAGCRCCTTAGTAGAATGCTACGGGAATGGATTGGTCAGGTCAGGTGGTGTGCGCAAGATTGAGTTACCGGAAAGAGATGCCGAACATGTGAAACGTTAGAGGAAAGTTAGGGTGCAGCACTGATTTCCCRGGAGAATTGTCGTGTGTGAGAAACGCCRGGGCCAGRGAGGGGAGTGAAGGTGTCATCGGGTGCGCTGTGAGGGAGCCAAGCTAGGACACACACAGCGGGKCAGGAGTGGAKGGGGGACGTGGCGTGGGCGAGACTTGGCWCATAGGCAGAGAGACCGGCGGGACTGCGAGTCCACRTGGTGCCAGGGGAGTGYGGGCGACGTGGTCCGCTGACTRGAAGGGGAGTGCCAGGTGGACGAGACAACTAAGTCAACAGTGCATCGACGGACGCCTGACGGAATCGACTGTSGCCAAGTGGGATAGAGGATYGTCGGCCCGACAGAGGYGATCTAATCACCGGYGTCGCAGCCACTGGAAGGCGAACCAATCRKCCCCGACTTTGCGCCTAGAGCCTCCTCCTCGTCTAGTGAAGTGCTGATTGCCCTATCGATACCCCAGCATCACTTGTTCCCCCCTCCTCCCCGATCTCCCGCCCCTCACACCCCCCCCTTCTTTTTACACCTTACCCCGTCCGTACCCCCTCTCTCCTGCCTCTCCTCTTCCTGCCCTTCACCCACCGAACATACATCTCAAATCCCCTCATCCCTACTCCCGGCTCTGCCCCCCAGCTCGTGTCCCCCCTCCCCCGCTACCCCACCCTTAATTCCATACCCTTGGTGTTTCCTCGTTCTGCTACCCCACCGCCCCCCACTCTCGGCGGTCGTGGATACGGCTCCCTGGGCCACCACAGATGGTGGCATCAGGAGCCGAGCATGCAGACCCACCCCCCTCCCTTGAAGGGAACGCTCCGCCAAACGATGCAAAACCGAAAATGACAAAACGGGGGCCTGAGAAGCTGGACAATGGGCGAAAGGGAAAGGGAGAGAGGGGGTCAATACTGTTTCGATGACTGGCAGTGGTAAACGGGAACAACCAAAAGGTAAGGACACAATCTCCGATCAGGCCATGCAAAAACAGCCCCAGCCTCTTGCGAAGATGCTGATGTGTCACCCGGATGGCCCTGACAACCACTCCTCCCCTGACAAGTTCGGGGATCGGCAGCCTGCAAAACCAGTCGAAACCGGAACACTGCAGCCAGGGAGACTGCAGACAACGGAGCGACAGATGCCCAAAGGGGGGAACGCAACCCGGGGGACCAAAATCACCACGTGGAGGGACATGGTGGTGGGCCCGGGCTCTGGCTCCCGGGACACCCCGTCCTCATCAAACAACACACAGAAATCCCCTCCCCAGTTGTTGAAAGCGCTGTCAGCCCCATCACAGGCGGAAGCGGCGAAATCTACCTCCCTCGACCCGATGGCCCCGCTCAAGAGTCACTTCGTACAGCAGCTGTATGTGGAGCCGGAAAGGAAGTTCCAAGTAAAGGATGGATACATCTATCCACACTCCGTCTTCCCCATACTAGCCAAAGCCAGAAGGGATGAGATATACGCACACAAAGTTGTGCAGTTCCGTTTTCAACCCTCCCAGCTAGCACTGTCGGTCAACGAAAAAGTCAAGTGGATAAGGGACAGACTGGGATCAATCAAACCAGACCGCCACCTGGTTAATGACCACTTCCTCATTGAAGTGGACGACCACGACTGCATCACAGTCGTCGCCCTCTACTCGACCGATAAACACATCCTCCTAAAAAATAGGGCCTAGCGGTTCAGAGAGAACTTGGTACAGGTGATGGCGTGGTCCCCTGCCAACCCGCAGTCTGCTGATGACAGACGTGAGTATCTCATGGCATCAAACTTCTGGGTTGAGTTCAGATTTGCCCCCCTCTGTGTACAGGGGGCTATCCTTACCGACTTAGAAAATATCGCCCACGTTCAAGGGTACATCAACGACTTGCCTCAGTTCTTGGGTAGGAGGGATGACTCCCTGCTGGTCGCAGTAGACTGGGACCCAGCCTACCCCTTCCCTCTAAATGAAGAGTGGAGGTACTCCTAGGGGGGAAAGGAATTCTCCGTCCCAGTTAGTCACAAGCAGGACCCCTGGTGCTATGCCTGCAAGGAAAGATGCCATTTGTGTTTGGAAGAAGCATGCCCCAAGAATCGCACGCCAAAGATAAAGGGGCTGGTGGTCCCCCACCCCACGGATGAGGACTGGTGGTACGCGGAGGAGAAGGAGCTAGAAGGATGGACCCTCAGAGTTAACGCGGATGGACGCCCCGGGAAGTGGATCTGGCAAGGCAGAGCACGACCCTCGGCCTGCCGAGCAGGGGCCAGATGTGTCATCAATAATGACTGTAAGCAAAAGGGCCCCATGGAGCCTGCCCCGCAATCACATCGGCCCACAGGACCGAAGGGCTCCACCCGCAACAATGGAAAGCAAAACAGTCCCGCGACGCCCACTCTGAAACCACATGAGCCCAAAGACAGGAGGGCCCCTGGCTGCAGTAAGGCTGCTGCGGGTAAAGCCCATGTGCGCTTGAATGATGGACCTACCACGTCTGCTAGCCCAAAGCCCCCCCCCCCACTGACCCGCCGGGCCTACAGGCCCAGGCCAAAAGAAGGGGGGCCCTCGGCCACGTCTACCTCGGGGGCGCCAGGGCAGGGCAATATCAAAGACACGCCCCTGGGGGGCGACAGCCCCGCTGCTGACCCTGGGCCAGCGGCCAGCCCTGCTGCTGACCCCGGGCCGAGGGCCAGCCCTGTGGGAGACCCTGCACCGGTGGCCGGCCCCGCGGTTGGGCCTGGGCCACTGGCCAGGCCCGCTGTTGACTTAACTGGCCTGCCTCCCACACAGATCGGGGCCGCTTCACTGGGTGGCACTGCCGTCCCTGATGTGAGCACACACACCCACGACTCGGGGTTGGGATGCCCGCCGGTGGAGCAAACCAAGCCGACCGGACGGCAACCCGGATTGCCAGTGGGTGCAGTCACAACGCAGCAGCTCCTCCAACCAGCTGCGCAACATAGTGCATATCAACAGCTCGCTAACACTGCACTTCCGCCGACTGTTATGAACGCTGCATGCCCGCCGGTGGAGCAACCCAAGTCGACCGGACAGCAACCTGGTCTGCCAGCGTGTACTGTCTCAACGCAGCAACTCCTCCAACCAGTTGCGCAACAAACTGCAGACGAACAGCTCGCCAACACTGCACTCCCGGCGACTGTTCTGAACGCTGCACCCCTCCCCTCCTCTCTACGACCACCGGGAGGCATGCCGGGCACTACACTCGTTCCGCCTCAGCAAGGGGCGATCAAAGGTAAGGTAAAAGGGAAAGCTGAAAAGCACAAATCGCAACGGATGTGAAGGAGGGCCAACACACTTTTATCCAAAATCAAGGACGCCGCTTTCTCTCAGCGTAAGGACACGCCGCGAGGCGCTGTCCTCCCAACACAGCCCCCCTCGACCCTGAATGTCGAATCCTCAGATCCCTCGCCCTCAGCTGACCAAAGTCTGACCGTGCAAGGGATCCAACAGCTCGTCCCTCGACAGCAGGGGGGGGCCGGCAGATGCAGATGTCGACTGGCCTCGCAACACAATGCCAGCAGCTGTTGGAGCTGGATCAACAGCAAGGCGCCCAACAACTGCTTCGCCACCAGCGCCAACAGGATCACCAAGACCTGTCCGCTGAGCACCAGCAACATCAATTCGACCAGGTCCAGCAAAATCAACTACAAGAGCAGCGCCATCAGCAGCAATGGCCGGAGACCCAGCAACTGCAATTACAAGGGCAATGCCATCAGCAGCAATGCCTGGATGCCCAACAACCCCGACACCAAGACCCCCGACTCATACAACAACAACACTCCCTCGAGCCGCAAAAGGGTTTGCAGGGCCAGATACGGGGTCCGCCTGGCGTAAACAAACACACGGGCGCCATACTCAAAGAAGTGGTCTCTCAGCTAACTGGGGAGAAGAAGTTTATCTAGCTTCCTCCTTCTCAGACGGCCCAGCCACAAGGATGCACCGCTGAAGGCTCTATTCAACAGGGTCTGCTGGGGTCCCGTGAGCTACCGCCTCCCCGCCCTCCGGATGCCACTCACTACCGCCCACAGATCCACTGCCATGCCCCACCTAAGCAGCAGACTGATGACCCGCATGCTCTATTGACCGACCTCGTAATTCAGGGGCATCAACTGCTGCAGCTTGATCAACAGCACGGCCGCCAGCAATTGCATGACCACCAACACCAACAGCAGCATCAATACCTGTCCCCTGAGCGTCACAACAGTGACGACCAGCAACGACAGCAAATGCACGATCTGTGTCACCAACAGATCCACACCCAACAGCAACAACAACTACTCGCTCATGCTTAGCAACAGCAGCTCCAAGACCAATGCCAACAGCAGCATAGGCTGGAGGCCCAGCAAATGCAGTTGCAAGCGCAAGGTCAACAACACCAATGCCTGGACGCCCAACAATACCGATTGCAAGATCACTGGCGGGACGCCCAACAACAACAGTTCCAAGAACGCTGCCAACAGCAGCCGGAGCAGCCCCAACAGCAAACTCATATGCAGATTCATCAATCCCTGGGCCAGTGCCAACAACATTCGCACTGCCTCTAGCCAAATGAGTGTGATGACCAGATGCGTACACTGCTGCAAGCGCAGCTAGCGCAATACCAACACCAGCAGTACGAGGCCCGCCTATTGCTCCAGCAGCAGATACTGCAGCAACTGCATATGCAATGGCAGCAGCAGCTCTGCTGCCAACAGCAGTATGTCTTACACCAACAACAGCACCAACTGCAGATCTTCTGGCAGCAAGAGATCGAAAGACAGATGGCCCAACAACAACACACAGTGTACCGCCCGGAGTTCCCTGCCATTGCCCTGCCAGAATGGTATTAAGAGCTGCAGCAGCTGCAAGATATGGACACCTCGGCCCCGCCCCCGGAGCCTCCGCCACCAGAGCAGCTTCAACCTCCGGCAGAAGAAATGGAGGTTGAAGTTGCCCCCCCACCGCCRCCCCCACYAGTTGATGTCARCCCCCCACCGCTCACAGCCAATGACGAGGTCCACCAGAARCTGGCATTCCTCACRGAATGGACCCTGGCCAAAATATTCTCGCTYRCGGACAAYAAACCCGTCGAGAAGYTGGGCGAAAGGTACTGGGGGRAGGCCAAAAGAGTTYTGATRTACAGCCCGCGGGTYTTAGCCACGGTCGAAAAATACAAGGTAATCTCTGATATCGACTGGATGGATGTGGGGGCTGCCATTGTCCTAGTGGTGAATRACTTTCTTGACAAGATYGAAGACTATGCCAAGAGGTGCTTCCAKACGTGTGWTGTCCAAGACACAGGCGACCAACGGACCCCCCCAGAGGAAGCGTTCATTCACGAAGGATTGGCTTGGCCCAAGGTGCTCATTCACGAACTGTGCTCAACTCTTCACTCACTCCC